ATGTAATATGATATGCAGAAGCGTTTTCCAGCAAAAACTCATTTTCGAAAAAAATCGACTTATTACGGTTTACCACTTCACTACTGAATTGAATAATACATTTATCATATGAGAAATAATAGAAATACCTATGTAAATGAGAGAATAAAACATTTAATTAAAAAAATTACCATAGGTTTTTGAATGTCATTCAAACTACCTAAAAACATTTGAGAAATCCTCCGAAATTTCCAGAAACTTCCTAGTTAAGCTGTCTGTAAATTTGTAAATGTCCAAATTTCCCCAAATTACTAACACATTCTTCAGTTTGTTAATAAATGCCCTAGAGAATCTGCAATTTGTGACCCCCTGTGACTTCCTGCAACCCCCCTCATACCCCCTGTCTTATTCTGTTTAAAGCCTGAGGCCCTGTCCTTTTTTTTATTTAAATTTGCTCTCTTTTTTTTTTTGTTTAAACCTTGAGGCTCTCTTCTTTTTTTGTTGAAACCTTGAGATTCTCTTCTTTTTTTGTTTAAACTTGGAGGCTCTCTTCTTTTTTTGTTTACACCTTGAGGCTCTCTTCTTTTTTTTTGTTTAAACCTAGAGGTTCTGCCGAAAGAAAAAAGCGGGGGTCCAGGGGGCGCAGCGCCCCTGGCAGGTTCCAGGAGCGGAGCCCCTGGCGGGGTGCAGGGGTGAAACCCCTCTCGGGGTCCAGGGGTGAAACCCTTGGCAGGGACCAGGTGCGGAGCCCCGGTGGGGTCCAGAGGTGAAACCCCGGCAGGGTCTATGGGCGGAGCCCCTCCCATTCAGGAGAAAAACATTTATTTCATTTATAAACATAATAGAAAAACTTATTCCTTAGAAGTAGATGATAATTTCATGAATTATTATTCACTCCTCGAACCAACGATACGATACATATCGCTTTAGATGATCTCGAATACAATCCTTAGAGAGAGAAAGACTAGACAATACATGATTATGATAGATCTATCCTGAATCTTCAGTAAAAGGAAAGGGATCAACTCTTCGCTCGAGCAATTACGAAATTTCAAATTATATCAATGCTCTTTCTGAAAAATCCAATTCACGCTACAATACAATTGAATTTGAACGTTAATTCCAACGAAACAATTCATCTTATTAAAACTTCAGCAAGTACTCCATACTTGACTCTATCAGGGATTCAACAATGAATTACCCATTAATTTCAACTAAGGTGGCAATTCAATATTCAACTTAATTTTATATCCAAAGCCAGTAGATTAATGTTGGACGCAGTGAAGATGAATAGTAGAACATTTGTGATTGCTAAATGTAGATTGCCGGATAGATTGAACAGGCAAGGATGATGGAACGAGATGTACCTCACAGGTGAATGCTCAGCCAAATGAATAGCCTAGAACGAGAATCGCTGTTAGCAAAGATTCAACCTAACGACGTCAGATATCACGTGAAACGTAGCAACTTAACTACAGAATTATACTGCTTCCAAGGATTACAAACGATTTAAACAGACGAATTCTGTACTAACGAGCACCCGCTCACCTCTGCTCATTCATCTATCCTACTTTTCCATTTTCCCTCCTTTTGTCTTCTGCGCAATGAGATAGGTTCCATAGAATGAAGCATAGTCTGATGCCACTCCTCTTATCGCTCGGGCTCGAAAAGCTCTCAGCACTGTTCGAAATGCAATGCAAAATGTGAAGAGGACTGGAGCATTAAGAGAACATGGGAATTGGGGAAGAACTGATTGGAGGACGTTGAACTCGACGATGTTCGGAGGATATTGATCGTCAAGCCTCACTGGAATAACTTATTTCATGAGTTCGATAATTCAGCGAGAATAATTTGATGAATGTCACTATTAGGTGAATTATTGTTGTTATGGGCGAATGAATTAGTTGAAACTGTTTCGTCGTTATAGATAAATAATAGAAAATTGTTCAATCACAGCGAAAAAGTATGTTTGAATTTCACACATTTTTTATAGTTATTTTTCCGACACTAAAACATGTCTGAATAGAATGAAAATTTGTCTGAATTTCAGACGAAGAGATGCCTAAACAATTGAATTCATTTTTGAAATTCAGACAAATTTTCATGTTATTCAAACGTTTCTTAGTGTCTGAAAAATATCTACAAAAGGTGGGTGACATTCAGACATTCAGACATTCGTTTTTGCTGTGATTTGAATTAGTGGTCGAGTAGGGAAACAGGATGACGTCATTTCGAAAGTGTCTCCATTATACTAGCGAAAAATTAATTTTCGAATTTGAAGTAATAATTTGATGATGAATGCTATAGAATTCAAAAGAAAAAGATCCGTGAGCATTACCAGACCTCTTTCTTTGGTTTCTATGCTCAAGTTCTTCTTCTCTTCCCTGAACCATACATATAATGCACTCATTCGGAAGTTGATTAAATAAACTTCAAGATGACACCTGATTTATCCAGTTCTGAACATTTTTCATGGACTTATGAGAATTTTAGACGAAAAATGGATTTTTATTTTTCACTTGAAAAATTTACCTTGGTTGAATTTTTCGATACTCTTAAGTGGACTAGGGAGAGATTTTTATGCATTATTTATGCTTCTTTTTGAAGAGCATTTACCATTTCTAAAAATGATGTGATAAATCTGATTCAATTGAATTTTCCTCAAGTTAGAATCTGAACTTATCATCTGAACTTGTGCTCAGATGAAAATATATTAAATGACCTTGCAAATGACGGCTGAATTATTTGATTAAGGCCAATTTTCATTAACATATGCGAGTTTTTATCCAAAAATGGAATTTCATTATGTTTATTGGAAATTCAGTTTGGTTTGGATTTTTCTCTATCGGTCAAGTGAATGAAACTATTCATATACCATTTGAAAGTATATTTACTATTCTTGGAAATTGCGCATGGTAACTCTGATTCAATAAAATTTTCATCAAGTTATAGCTGATTGTTTCCACTTTTTACGTTATGTCACCCGTCAAAAATGACTGTTTTCCCCATTTATCCAGGCTTCAGACTTGACCTGCGGGGATGTGTCTAATGCCGATTTGAAGGTCTCATCGAAATCTTTAAATTGAGAGCCCATATTATCTGTTCCATCAACCAGATCAATTGTCATAAGCGAAAATGTAGCGATTTTAGCCTGTCATGTTTTGAAAATTTCTATGTTTTTGCGTCTAATGACGACATTTGATGGGTTTCTGTTCAAATCTGGAAAGATATCTTATATTCAGGAAAAAATATACTAAATCACCTTCAAGTTGACCCCTGAATTATTTGATTAAGGCTAATTTTCACTACAATATGGAAGTTTCATCCAAAAATTGAATTTTATGATGTTTATCGCAAATTCAGCTGTTTGGATTTTCTATAACTATTGGTCAACTATCGGTTTTATAAACTCTGAAATCAATCGAAACGTTTTTGAATGTTCTAGAAAGTTCGAAAATCTTTTCGAATACAATGCAAATAATTATCAAAGTTCGAAAAATTGAAGAGCTTTCTTGAAGATTACGACATTTCTGAAAAGATTATCTTTGCCCAATTCTCTAGAACTTTTCACGATTTTTGGAATTTGTTCTGTTTCAAAACGAAATATTTATTAATCTTTTAAGAAGTTTATCAATTATTGAAAATTGCTATTTAGAACTGTTCAATTCATAATAATTCCATAGTCTGTCGACTCCAATTGTGAATTTTACACCAAATTGTAACAGTTGAACATTTCCCAAAATTTCAAATCCCTCACTGACTCCCTTCATTTTCTCACTCCGAACTATAGTAAATACCCGAAACATGGTAACGAAGAGAACCTTTGTACTAAACTTCGTAATAAACATAGGAAGATTTGTCAATTATAAAATTCTTTGAAAATCGTATTAAATATCGAAGTAAATTAAATCCATTAAAAATCATTTCTTACTTCAAAATCACAATAAACCGAACCTCAACCTTTAGAAAAACCTGAGTGAAATTATTTGTAACTCAGGAATATCCTTAACGCGATGCAACAGAATTTTTCAGATAATTCTGGAATTTTTGAGAAGACTCTACTGGTCGATAATGTTCTACAACTTTCATGAAAATTCCATGTATTTGCTAAAAAATAGACATCTCAAATCATGTAAAATATCATTATATAATGATGAAAATACTTTAAACTTCAGATTTATCGAAAATTCAATTATATGCGATGTCTCATTTCCAAATTTGATTATAAAATATCAGGAATTGTTGGAATTCCCACGTCTGTTAAACACAGAATAATTCGATTATCCGGAATTCTTACCCTAAATGAGAAATGCATGAATAATTTAGTTTCAAATTCAACTGAACGGCACAGAGGTGAAAATTGAAATTTAATTGTTGACTGCATTTCGATAAATTTCTATCTGTGCAGGTTGAAGTTTATCCCTCAAAAATTCATCATAAAATATAGTAAAGCCTATCATCCTGTTTCATCACTTCTGGAATGTATTTTGTGGATTTTGCTTCAAAGCTAATTCAGTTAAAAAGTTTAAGCTAATTTATTGAATTTCCCAGTGCATTGGAAATAGAATATTATCTTCTGAATGAATGCAAGAAAAGATGATAAGCCGAGAGACGAAGACAATACAAAAATACCTTGATATCACTGAGATATACTTTTTCAATGCCATTTTCTTTTATGCACATCCTTCTCGCTGTTATTACGCAAGGACGGTTTTACGCACCCTGACTTCCACCGTTGCTATTCAGCAGCATCTTCCAATTTTTATGATTAAGCTCCGATACGTATTTTCAAAGATAGTCGAACGTCATGAAAAACAAAGGCAATGAGAGTGCTACAGATAATAATCGTTCGGGTAATGGATTTTTCCTGTTGAAGAAATAAGAGTAGAGAAGATTACCTCAGCGATTTTTTTTCTCAACAACGGGTCTATGCTTGCCCCGGTCGATCTTAACGGATACTTGTCTCATCTTATTCTTCAGTGTCTTGTTCAAGTATCGAAGTTTATGAGTGGAACACTTACCCCCTTGAAGCGACGGGTATATGTGAAATGATGGCTCCTGCAGCCACGATACAACTCTCACGAGATCCTTCACGTGACTCGGTACCAAGCATCTCAAAATTGCTGTACAGCCTCGAGATACTCCCTCGACTACTTCTACATCGACAGAATACGCCTGGGTCACAACTGTGGAAATAAATTTTTCATTATTCGTCGGTCGTTCTTGTCATGGTAAAATATATTCTACATTTATCTGAGGAATTTTCAATCGAATGCAATCTAACTGAATTGTATCCTATTGAAATGAAAAATTGCATAACCTGATGGATACACCGGTTATTGATTTTGTGGAATTTCATATTGAAGTGATAAAATCGAAGAAGTTAGCTTTTCACCTCTGTGGATTGGTGAATTGCACTGAGAGAAAATCCATTTTATTAAAATATTTTCTTCTTGAAATAAGTGTTATTTAGTTGAACAATTTTTATGTAACAGGAGGAACAGTAGAGAAACGTTGGGAGGATACCAAAAATTTCATTTTTCCATGTGTCCCGCTTTCCCGAGTTTTTTCTGTAGTTTGTATTATTACACAGAAATTCTAAAGTTACTCCCAAATTCTTCAAATTTCAATTTTTAGTTTTCTTGCTTAGTATTCCGCAACTTGAGAATAACTTCTTCGTCGAGGGTTTGTAATTGTTAATTTATTAGTGTCCGCTTTCTTTGCACTTTCTTTTTGCTTCCGAATGAAAAAGCTTTGTAATCGTTCAAAATTAAGTTTCCAAATTTTTGTGTCAAGGTAACTAAATATGGTCTAAAATGTCTAAATATACGATTTTTAGATGGTGTTTGTATGTATGTATGTATGTATTAGACTGCTAAGCTAAGAGGCTATTCCAGAATTCACTACAGACAAATCAAAAAACGATGGCGTAATATATGACAAGACTATAGGAATTTTTTTCAGATTTTTTGCGATATTTTTAGACCTAGCCAAAACGATTCAAAAATCTTATAGGATTATGACCGTGAAGAGAGGGATAAAATCAATATCCCTGATTCTATTGAGAAGATATTCACATTATTATTCTAAAATTCCAGCACGTATTCCCAAACGACTGACGAATAAAGCAAATATTTTATCACGGTCCTCGGGTCATTTTTCATTAAATTAAAAAGCCAGATTATCGCTCGAAAGAGGGGTTTTTAGACATGTATCAATGCCTCACAACGTGTCGAATCCTTTCCTGATTCTCTGAAATGATTATTTAACTATCTCTCCATCGTCTCGTGAAACAATGGATATTTTGTCTTATACTCAATCATCTTATACTCAAGAGGTGTGTAAGTGAAGCAGAAATTTTCTAGTGGACTCAGAATTGAAGCAGATAATTTGTTGAAGCCATTGACTCAGGCAAAGGCCCCCGGAGGCCATTTTGAATTGGGTCTTGAACAATAATAGTAGATTCAGAGGTTTGTTAGTAGAGCGGAAATTTTCTAGTGGGCTCAGAATTGAAGCAGATAATTCGTAGAAGCTTCTCAATCATTTTCTGTGAGTCTTCTAGTCACCTGCTTTGTGGCCTCAGCCCAGCATGTGGATATCTCCAGAAGCTTCGGCAGCAGTGAGTTTTGGTGTACTATATGTGGTATAATAAAAGTAACATTACAAAACTTGTTTTTTGGAAGGCAACTGATTTCCACAAATTTCCGGTGTACTGTTACCAATCAAAGGAATCGTTGTTTCTTGTCGCGTGGTAGACATATTGGCACTCATTTATTTTTCACAATTCAAATCACGGGAAACCATGAAGTAGCAATCACTATGATGCTGACTGTTGGGAAGTCTTCCTCTGACTGACCGCCGATGCTTACGAGAGAATTTCTTCAGAAGGTATTTCATTAAAAGAACTAAATGAGCAGAGGACACCGCCCCGTCAGCGTAAGTGAAGAATGAGAAAAATGTTTGGCTTCTCACTGCGTAAATTAGTTTCAGATTCAACGTTTACCTGACCCACAGGTAAAATTCGCCTGTACACCATAAATGATGTCCGAGTTAGAATCACAAAAGTTCCATTCTGAGAAAATTGTTTATAAGCCTACTAGTCGGGGACGTATTTCAATGTCCACTGACTGGGCGATTCATTGACTTTGACTCGTAGCTATATATTCACGAGGGTGCTTAACGCATTTTGAGCATAAACATAGAAGGAAGAATTTTCTTTTCCTTAAAACTTTCTTATTATTTAAAGTTTTGTTTAGGTTAAATTTTGTTTTGCAATGTTAATAAAAACTTTTTATATGATACGTGCGTGTAACCGCATAGGTTTCAGTTGACTATAGTCAAGAGGAAAGTAGCGGGTTTCAAGCGCCTACTCAGACTCAACTGAAACCCACTGTTCTAACAGTTGAGTGTGGGTAGGCGCTTGAAACCCGCTACTTTCCAGTTGACTATAGTCAACTGAAACCCGAAATAACGCATGACGCGCATGCGCATCACCTAGTAAAAGAGAATAACAAGGAAGGAAATCTAACTTCCGAATAGTGAATACATGGAATGATTGAAAAATGAAAAGGTGATTTTCGAAGCAGATAAAATGAGCCAAAATCGTATAATTCCTGATAGTGATGAAGAGTTAGGCAGTGAGGAGAATTTATTTACTGATGAGGAGGATTTATTGGTGATGTGACATTTGAAGAAAANATAGTCAACTGAAACCCGAAATAACGCGTGACGCGCATGCGCATCACCTAGTAAAAGAGAATAACAAGGAAGGAAATCTAACTTCCGAATAGTGAATACATGGAATGATTGAAAAATGAAAAGGTGATTTTCGAAGCAGATAAAATGAGCCAAAATCGTATAATTCCTGATAGTGATGAAGAGTTAGGCAGTGAGGAGAATTTATTTACTGATGAGGAGGATTTATTGGTGATGTGACATTTGAAGAAAATGAAAATATAATATTCTCCAATGAAGCACCAGCAGGATCGCCAAAAACTCCGCAGAAGAGAATCCGTTATGATGATTTTGATAACAATAACGAAAATCTTCCATCAGATATTTTAGCAAATGCCCAGAAGGCCAAAAATCAGACGCTACCAACAACTTCTCTAGAAAAATATAACGTTTTGTATCATATTTTTTTATAATTATAACTTTCTTTTTTTTGCGAATTCTTAATGATTTTTAAAAATTGTATTTTGTAATTATTATAATTAATTTTTTTCAATTAAAAATACTTTACAAGTTTTTTGAACTACATATTTAATGAATATAATTAATTTTTTCTTCAGAAGTTCCGCATAATTTTTAAATCACACTTTTTTATAATTATTTTTTTAAATAAATGTGATCTTTTTTCTTCAGTGGGGGGGGCTTCGCCCGCTGGACCCCCTTTTCTCGTGGGGGGCTTCGCCCCCCACACCCCCCACTCGCCCCCCCTCCACCGCCAGACTTCATCGCGCACTTATCATATAAAATAGTATACGCAACACGTGCGGACAGCAGGCGGTATCACTCGGGCGGCTGCGCCGCCCTCGTGAATAACCGCCTGCTTTCCGCACTAGTTGGGTAATGTAATATTAATTATAGCTGCATTTGTTTTTTTTATGACAGAATTCTGTTCAAACTGATTCTATCGATTCAAATAGATTGTTTCTATGATTTCATAAAATTGTTTCTTCCAAATAAGTCGAACTTTATTTGATTTTAAAAAAATTCTTGATGAAATAAAATATTAATAGAAGGAGGACCAACGCCCTTGGCGCGGATCAGAAGATGCAGAAATAGATTGATACTGGACAATGAATTGAAAAACTCCGCGCCAAGAACATTGGTTCTCCATTTACTAATTTTTTATTTCATCAAGAATTTTTTTGAAATCCTCATTCGATTCGAAACAATTTCTCTTATAGAAATCTGATTGTGCACTATTTTCGTTTATCCGACATTGCTGACTTGGCTTTCTTTTTCATTACTTGGTAGTTTTCAAAAATTTCTACTTCCCAGTAAGAACCAAACAAAACTTTTTCTTGGCGCAGTCTTTTTACAAAAACATTTGTTTTTGTTTATTTTAGGGAGATTTCATGTTTTTTCAAAATAAATAAGGAATCGTTTTTATATCCTGTAAATATTTTTATTTTCAATTCATTCGGGTCATTTATTTTTCACACGATAAATCATCTTTCCAATTAACAATCGAAGTAAAACGAATAGTTCTATTCTACAGTCATTATTTACATCAACTTTTAATTATTTATTCAAGATTTTCCGACTGAATTTGCTTGTTCGAAAATTCATTTGTGCACGGAACTCGATTGAAAAATATCTGTGGAATTCATCATTCATGCACCATATTCAATTTGTAAATTCCCGGACTTCGCTCCTTGGTGCGTGTGGTTGTATTGCACTGCTACCAACTCCGTAACAAAAAAATGATAGGAGGTGATGTGAAATGCGAGAATGTGCATATGAACCCGTTGCTATGCGCGTATTTTTTTAAATATTGCTTCGAACAAAAAAATAGTTACATCAATGAGAAGCTTCTGGCCAATTTATACAGGGTGTTTCAGAAGTACATGTACATCTGAACACCCTAGGATCAGGGGATGATTCTGAGCAGAAAAGTCCTCTTGCACTTTTTGATCAGACTCACCCCTAAAAAGTTATTGGCAATTAAGGGTGGGCCAATGGGGAGTGATTTCTAAGCGGGCGCACATCCACGTGATATGCAGTNAAGAAGAAGAAGAAGAAGAAGAAGAAGAAGAAGAAGAAGAAGAAGAAGAAGAAGAAGAAGAAGAAGAAGAAGAAGAAGAAGAAGAAGAAGAAGAAGAAGAAGAAGAAGAAGAAGAAGAAGAAGAAGAAGAAGAAGAAGAAGAAGAAGAAGAAGAAGAAGAAGAAGAAGAAGAAGAAGAAGAAGAAGAAGAAGAAGAAGAAGAAGAAGAAGAAGAAGAAGAAGAAGAAGAAGAAGAAGAAGAAGAAGAAGAAGAAGAAGAAGAAGAAGAAGAAGAAGAAGAAGAAGAAGAAGAAGAAGAAGAAGAAGAAGAAGAAGAAGAAGAAGAAGAAGAAGAAGAAGAAGAAGAAGAAGAAGAAGAAGAAGAAGAAGAAGAAGAAGAAGAAGAAGAAGAAGAAGAAGAAGAAGAAGAAGAAGAAGAAGAAGAAGAAGAAGAAGAAGAAGAAGAAGAAGAAG